ATTGGATTTCCCTGAATAGTATAATCATATGGTGGAGGCTTACAATTTCTCTTTGAGAATCTTACCAATGATGTGTTGGATAAGTTAAATTTTAAGTCCCATTTGTCACTCCATTTGAGAGCTGCATCAAGCTTCTCTTGTAACAGAGAGCAATCAATTGTAGACGAGATCTTATTAAAGCGTTTGGAGTCATCGGCAAACAAGAGTGTGGAAGCTGGAAGGGAATCAGTACTGTACAGATCATTAATATTAACACGGAAAAATATAGGATTAATAACACTCCCTTGTGGTACACCGCTCAATACTGGTAGAAAGTCTCAATTAGTATTATCCACACGAACACATTGTCTTCGTGAGGATTAATAAGCTTGGAACCAGGCCCATGAATCACCTGTAAAACCAAAATTCCACAGCTTCTACAGCAATTTCTTATGGGGAACACTATCAAAGGCCTTTTTAAAGTCACGATAGACACAGTCTACAGAGTCATTAGCCTCAAAGGCATTCTGAGTAACTGAAGTCAGGGATAGCAACTGCTTGAGTGGTGAGCGAGATGGCATAAAACCAAATTGAACAGGGGAGATATCCTCACTAATATGACCTGCAATCTTATTGTGGATAATTTTCTCCATGACCTTAGATATGGCTGGTAACAAGCTGATTGGACGATAATTAGCAACTTTGCATTTATCCCCAGATTTGAAGATTGGTTGAATGAGATGGGTTCGCCAATCCAGAGGAAGGGAATGAGTAGAGAGAAAAAGATTAAATAGATAAGTCAGTGGTGTAAGGGCCACAGGACAGCGTTTGAGATAAAGTGGGCCTATGCCATCAATTCCTAATGCCTTAGTTCCATCAAGTGAAGACAACTCCTGAAACACCTGATCCTCCTCACAACAGATGGAAGAGAACTGGTCATGATGGGAGGAGGAGAAAGCTGGATCAAAATCAAAATCAGAACAATCCGTGAAAACTGAGTAAAAGTAGGCATTAAAGAGATCAGCTTTGCCTAAACTGGTACTTGCTTTCTGAGATTTAAAAGACATGGTAAGAGGACGTGGTAAGAGGCAGACCATCTGTTTCAGTCATCCTCCTGATGTATTTAAATGCAACTGACAAATGGGGAAGAGAATCTGTGACCAAATGCCTTTCATATACATGTTTAGCATTCTTATAGTTAGTTGCAAACGCCTCCTCTGCCTTAAGTAGCTTCTGCTCCAGATTAGCGGAAGGATTAGCTTTGAATCGTCTCCAAAGAGTACGAAGGCTCTTAAGTTGGTGATTAAGCGGACCTCTGAGCCAGGGAATATAATTAGTAGTAGAACAGATAGTAATAAGAGGAATGTACTGATGAAGGGTTGAGAGGAGAAGGTCCTTGAAAGACAGCCAAACACTTTCAATGTTGTCATCATTAAGAAGGGGACCAAAGTTGAAATCCAATAAATATTCAACTAGCCCTGTCCATTCAGCTTTAGAAGAATCATAAACCGGTTTAGCAAGTAAGGTAGGAGATACATCACGTAAGTGTGAGACCTGAAACATAACTGCCGAATGGTCAGTGTTGAATGATGTGATAGGGGTAGCAATGACATTAGAAATAGCCTCAGGGATGCTAGTTAAGACAATGTCCAGTGTATTGCCTTTATTATGGGTAGGGACTTGAACAACTTGTGAGAGATTGAAGTTGAACACTAGATCACGGAGAGTAAGAGAATAGTGTGTATCACCAGACAAGGTAAACAAGTCATCAGGAGCATTAAAATCGCCCATGATTATGATGGAACCATGATATGTGTGACATCTCTTAGATATAATATGAGATCATCACAGTAATCAGTACTACAAATAGGGGGACAATAAACAATACAGATAACAGTGCTAGAGTTATTATCAATTAAGACTGAGATAACCTCTAGTTGAGAAAGTGAAGGTAAGAGTGAAGAAGGGATTGTATTGATGACTGCTAGCAAGACACTGCCACCTCTCCCAGCTCTATTTTTCCAAAAAATTGAAAAAGACGGGGGAGGATTTTATTATCAAAAATAGATTGAGAAAACCAGGAAACACCAGAGGAAAATACGAAGGATTGAAAGTCAATGAGTTTGTGGAGAAGGCTTCTGGCATTGATGAAACAGATATCCAGGACTTGTCAGGAAGAAGACGATGCTCCCCCCTCAGTGGAGGACTCAGCTTCTTGAGAAGGGGCAGGAAGAGGCTGGCCAGTAGAAACATTAGAAGCGGGGTTAGAATTTGGAGCATTAGGAGTTAATTCAGTAGACGAGGATTCAGAAAGAACAAGAGATAAGATGATAACCTTGGCACGAGGTACCCCCATTGACAAATTACTGATATGCTGATGCGGATATCTCTTACTATTATGAGACTGGATAATTTGCCAGCGTTCATTGAGAAGCTTCTCAATAAGCCTCTCTAACTTGGATATATTAGGCTTAATGACATATGGTTGGGATACAGAGCTCCGTTTAGCAAGTATTGACAACATCCTTGGAGCTGTTTTGTGTTATCAAGGCAGAGCGAGGCCTTGGATGTGTTTGTGAATATTTACCCATCCGTCGACAGTCTCTAATAGAGGCTGAAGTTATGTAGTTATCAATGACAGCTACTTTTTCAAAATCATGTGAGATACGAGCATTTCTTCTGGTACCTGGACAGCATTCAGGAATATCACCAATAACTATTGACAACTTAGAGGTAGAAAGTGGGATGGCATCACCGGTACCAGTGGTAGGAATAGAGGTAGAAAGTGGGATGGCATCACTGGTACCAGTGGTAGGAATAGTTGTATCCTCAGTACACGGTTAATCTCTCTATCACCTTCTGATCGAGGTATACTAGGTTCTTCGATTGAGGAGAGCCTAAACTCAAGTGATGTAATAAGAGAAGAAAAAGAATGGGAGAGATTAGAGAGATCTTGTTGGAGACGAGAGATTTTATTAGACAAATAGTTAACTCTACAGGAAGGACAGTGAAATGGGCCAGATTCCTCAGCATTCTTAAGGCCCTAAGAGTTAGCCCACCGCAGCCTCCAGGACTGGCAGGACCACTACAGTGAATTGATTCATGATTGTCATCATTAATGAGATATTCACAGATGGGACAGACAACATTAGAGGGAGGAGTGGCAGAAGAAGGGTCAATGGGAAGCCTACCAGCACCCTTGGGGGCCTACTTAGGAGGCATACCATCACAGACTGCCATTGGGGTGATCCCAGTGAAACTAAGCAAAGGCAGCACACAAAACAGCTGAACAGAGATAAATTTACCTGACTTAGTCGCTGGCTTAACGGAGTTAGAGCCAGCAGGAAGACAAAAATCAATGAACAAAGGGAACAGACAGGTAGAAGAGCTTACACTCTGACACAGCTAGAAAGAAATAGTGATTTAAGCCACGCCTGCTTAAGTCCTCCCACGCCCGCTTAATGTCATGAGGACAACAACAAGCTGCAACAAGTTCAGGAACTAACTGAAGATCAATATCTTGTCTTGTGAATGGACGACATCATCTCCCTTTAAGCTGGCCATATGTATGCTCAACGATGACCCTTGCTTTACTCAGTCTATTATATAGGCGGTACCCTATATGTAGGGTTGAGGTTGATTTTTCAAGATGGGGACCAAGTTTATAATTTTCAAATGATTATAACTCTTTCATCTTACTTTGTATGGCCTTGTAAATGGCTTAAATGAGTTCTCCTCATTGAGCGATTCTCCTGGTACCTTTAAAGTGTACTGCAATGTTGTGGGAGCAATTCTGGATAATAGGCCCA